CATTATCAAGTGTTCACATTGTAGACTCCAGAAGGTTTGAATCATGAAACCTCAGAAGGTTTATAGACTCATCTCTCTTTGAATCAATCAGGAGGAACCTAGGAGATAGGCTCACCCCACCCTCACCAAGCTGCTTCTTAACAGTGAAGCTCTTTGTTTACATGAAACCTTATGAGGAGCCCCCAGTGTGAGACAGACCCCATAGAACCATTTCAGGACCTGCCATCTAGGAATTTCTGGAATCCTTGGAGCCTACCCATCTTATTGAGCTCCCCCATTCTTGAGATGGGGAAACTGAGACTCAAAAAAGGGAACTGGCTGGCCAAAGGCACAGCAAACTGCTGTACCAGGCCAATGTTGGCTGGTTGTAGCCCCTGTCCTCAGAGGACCAGCACCTTCTTGAGCTCTCCCTTCTCCCCTCATCAAAATCCACTCCCAGGAAAAAGCCTGAAACTCATTGACACCATGGTATCCAGAACTGATGATAGCTTCACTGTCCCAGGGAGTCCAAAGGAATTGGAGCTTTTAGTTAAAGAAATACAGCCCAAGTGGAGGAATTTCAGACATTGGCCAATGCGTACAATTGGACACAAGGTGGAAGACCAGAAACCATGCCCGCTTGCTCTGTATATGGATATCCCAGATGGCGACTCCAGCATGGGAGGGTGCAAGGCCACGTTTCCAAATGTTTAGAACAGCACTGTCCTTGGTTCTCAGGGCCCAGGAGCTGCCCTAAAGCAGCAGCTTGGTCTCAGGGAGGCCTCAGTCACCCCATCTATAAAATGGGCATAGCTCAGCTCTGGGCTCCCTCATTCTCACAGCACAGGCAGGATGTCTGGGTTTCCAAGGCTTACCTACACTGACAGGTGAGGTAGATGCGGGGTCTCACAGGGAACGCGCCATCCCCGGGCTCCCCGCCAGGTCTCAGCCAGTCTGAGCTCCCAATGGGGGTCTTGCTGTCAGAACCTGAGGAGGCTCACCTGAACTCAGAGAGGAAAATGGTGGTCTCCCCATAAAGGAGTTAAGACTGTTTAAATCCTGAAACCAGAGAGCCCTTGTGCTCTGTGAGTTGCTAAATCTGTTCCCTTTACATCAGTCTACCCAGACCCCGAGTGGGAACATGATAAATAGTGGTTGAATGAATGAACAAACAACAAAATATTAGAATCCTAGAGCCATATAACATTAAACCACTGTTGGTTAACTGCCGTTGAGTAGGCCCTCAGCTCATGAAGATCCCACGCACATCAGAACAAAATGCTTCCTGATCCAGCACCATCCCCATGATCAGTTGGGGATCACACTGCTATGATCCATAGGGTTTTCATGGGCTGATTTTCAGAAGTAGATCACCAGGCCTTTCTTCCTAGCCTGTCTTAGTCTGGAAGCCCCTCTGAAAATTCTTCAGCATATAGCAACACACAGGCCTCCACTGACAGACGAGCGGTGGCTGCCCTTCAGGTGAATTGGCCCGGACTCAAACCCCCAGGTCTCCCATGTGGAAGGCAAGAATTCTACCACTGAACTACCACCACCCCCTTGTTAGACCACTAATCAAAAAAAAAAAACCAAACCCCTTGCCATCAAGTCGATTCCGACTCATAGCGATCCTATGGGACAGAGCAGAACTGCCTCATAGGGTTTCCAAGGAGCAGCTGGTAGATTCGAATTGCCGACCTTTTGGTTAGTAGCCGAACATTTAACCACTGTGTCACCAGGGCTCCTAGGCCCCCAAAAATGTAGCATCAGAATATTTCAGTCCTCCAGCCCCAGCACATTAGTAGTACTGTTCTGGGGTCCCTTCTGATGCCCCCTTCCCAGGAGTGAACCGAAGGCCAGAGGTCTCGCAAGGGAGTTGTGCCCCTTCCCCTAGCTGTGCTCATGAAGCCAGCCCAACCCTAGCTCAGTGGCAAGACTGGCATGGCACAGCCCCAGGGCCCATTCGGGTTGCTTTCTCTGGGCCAGTTTCCAACAGTCAGGCACGTCACCTGCGTTCAGTGGTCAAAAGGATTCTAGGGCAGTTGGTGGCCTCGAGTGCCAGGCCCTGAGACAGGAATCAGGCCCAGTCTGTTCCCCAGAGTGGCAGGGCCCAGGTGGGATGCTGTTCCAGTGAACAGGTAACCCTGATGTGGCAAAGGCTGTGTAAAAGATAAGGGGATGGCTTCTCAGTGGAGGGGGCCTGAGAACGAGGTGCCCTCAGAGGAGAATGAAGGAAAGGGGGTTATTGACAGGCTGAACAGCATTGACAAAGGCATGGAGCTTGAAGGAAGTTTGCTATGGAAAAATAAAATAAAATGGGGTGACACGGGGTAGCACTGAGGGAGGAGAGAGACAAGGGGAAGTGCTGGCCCTGGAAGGAGCCTGAGGGACCACAAGACATATGAAGTCCTCCCCAGCTGGACCCCCCTCTTTTTGTCCCCCTGCCTGAATGCCCCCACGAGAGGGGGACCTTACCAGGCTTCTCTTCCAAGGGACAAACACACCTGGGGATCTGCCCTGTGGTTGGTCATCCACGTCTTGGTGCAAATCAGTTTCAGAGGGGATGTGTAGATGAGCAGGAGAGACAAGTCGTGAAGGAGGGAGCAGCATGGCAGAAATGTGGCAGGAGGAGCATGCCCGGCCTGCAAAGGTCCCCCCCTGGTTTGGCTGCTGTCTTAGTTGCCTAGTGCTGCTGTAACACAAATGCCACAAGTGGGTAGCTTTGAAGAACAGAAATATATTTTCTCACAGTTCAGGAGGCTAGTACATTCAAACTCAAGGTGTGGCTCTAGGGCGAGGTCCTTCTTTGTCTATTTCAGCTTCTAGCAGCTGCCAGCAATCCTTGGGGTTCCTGGACTTGTATATGCATCTGCCTCCTTCATCCTCAGATAGTATCTGTCTTCCCCTTGTGTCTGTATGCCTCTGTGTCTGTGCTGCTCTTTATACAACTCAGAAGTGAATCCCAGCTTGACGCCCTTAACTCTCTGAGCCTCAGTTTCCTCTTCTGTAATGGGGACAATGATCGTACCTCACTGTCTTAGTTATCTAGTGCTATTGTAACAGAAGTAGATGGCTGTAACAAACAGAAATTTATTCTCTCACAGTCTAGGAGGCTAGAAGTCCAACTTCAGGGCTTCAGCTCCAGGGGAAGTCTTTCTCTTTCTGTTGGCTCTGGAGGAAGGTCCTTGTCATCAATCTTCCCTTGATCTAGGAGCTTCTCAGCTCAGGGACCCCAGGTGCAAAGGGCACACTCCACTCCTGGCTCTTCTTGCTTGGTGTTAATGAGTTCTCTCCTCTCTGCTCCATTCTCTCTTTTATATCTCAGAAAAGATTGATTCAAGATACAACCTAATTCTGTAGCTTGAGTACTGCATCATTAACATAACTTCCTCTAATCCTGTCTCATTAGCATCATAGACGTTAGGATTTACAACACATAGGATAATCACATCAGATCACAAATTGGAGGACAACCACATAATACTGGGAATCATGGCCTAGCCAAGTTGACACACATTTTAGGGGGACAGAATTCAATCCATAACATTCACCCATAGGGTGGTTGTGAGCATCACAGGAGATAATTTAGGACCCACCCTGCATTGGTATTACCTCAACTGATTGATTACATTACAGTATATTATTTTGCATTCTCTTACATTAGATTGCATTATGGGATGTGATTACATTACATTACAGTACAGTACATCCACAGATACAGGGGTTAGGATTCTAACACATATATTGGAGGGGCACAATTCAATCCATAACAGCTGGGATAACACCAATGGAAAGGAGAGGCTGGAAACACAGCCTAGGAGTCAGGTCAAGAGGCCAGTGTGCCAGAATGAGGAATGTGGGCTTTATTCTGAAGACAGCAGGGAGCCCCCGAGGGCTGTTGAGCAGGGAAGTGAGGATCGGATGTTGGGAGTTTGGAAGAATTATCTGGAAATGAATAAACAGTGGATTGTAAGTGGACCCCCATGCACTCTGTCCCAGCCCCACATAACGAGGTTTCACCTCACTGGACCTCATGTTCCTCATCCGTAAGCCAAGGTAATAACTGCTAGCATTGATTGCACATCACCACCCACCCGGCGCCACTCCAAGCATCTCACTGTGTCCACTGGGCAGCCAGCTCCTCAGGGCTGGGCTGTGTTTTGTCCACTGCACTATTCCAGTGTCTAAAACAGTGCCAGGCATATAGTAGGTGCTCAATAGATACATGTTGCCTGCATGAATTGTCTCCTCTGATGCTCTCAATCACCCTATGTGTGAGGTGCAATCATTGTCCCCATTACAGAAGAGGAAACTGAGGCTCAGAGAGCTAAGGGCATCAGGCTGGGATTTGAACCCCAATGGAGACTCCCAAGTCTGCTCTTAACCACTAGCTGTGCTCACCAGGGAGGGCAAGCGGAAACCCAAAGCGGGAGCAGAGGTGAGGGGTGCAGTGGGGCACAGTGGTGTGTATTCATTGCCTGTGGCTTACAACAAAAAAGGATTCTGTCTCAGAAATGGATTCTGGAGGCCAGAAGTCTGAAATCAAGGTGACAGCAGGACCACACTCCCTCCAAGCCTCTAGGGGAAAATCCGTTCCTTGCCTCTTGTAGCTTCTGGTGGCTCCAGGCATCCTTAGCTTGTGGCTGTATCACTCCAATCTCTGCCTCTGTCTTCACATGGCATTCTCCTCTGTGTGTCTCTTATAAGGACACTTGTCACTGGATTTAGGGCCTGCCTGGATGATCCAGGATGCTCTCATCTCAAGATCCTTAATTACATCTGCAAAGATCCTTTTTCCAAATAAGGTCACACTCACAGGTTCTAGGAATTAGGACATGGACATAGCTCATTCAGCCCACTACCTAATGTCTCGTATTTCACAGGGAGCCGGCTCTGGGCCCACAGAGAGCCTTGGTCCCCCCATCCCATCCCCACCACCTACCCCCACTCGGAAATGATTCCCAGTAACGCAAGCGTCTCTCCTGGGCCCTCCCACCGACCTCTCTGCACTCTGCCCACAGGTTTGCCGGGCACCACTCCAGACCTGGAAAAGAGAAAGCAGATTTTTGGGCAAAACTTTATACCTCCAAAGAAGCCAAAAACCTTCCTGCAGCTGGTATGGGAAGCGCTACAAGACGTGACCCTGATCATCCTGGAAATCGCAGCCATCATCTCCCTGGGGCTCTCCTTCTACCACCCGCCAGGCGAGAGCAACGAAGGTAAGCCGGGTGGGCTGCAGGCACAGCGCCCCCACCTGAGGGCGCTCGGGGTTTCCCCACTGCTTCTGTCAGGTGAGGACACTGAGGCCCAAGGGAAGGGCCTCACCCACAGCCAACCTCAACCCAGCTCAGAGCACCTGGCCCCCAGCTCTCCCATATGTGAAATGCAAGGGTGAAACCAACAAGAGTTATATTACAGTGAACGCTTATTGACCACTTACTGTGTGCCAGGCCCTGGGCCGAGATTATGTTGTCCTCCTAACAACCTCGGGGCCATGATTTACACACCCCTGCCCCGATGTTAAAGATGAGGAAACTAAGGCACAGAGAAGGGCCTTGCTTGTTCGAGGTCACCCAGCTAATAAAGATTTTGCTGTGGAGCATTTGTTAAAAAGACTGATGCCTAGGCCCCTCCCTGGGAAAGTCCAGTTCTGTCACCCTGGGGGAGTTGGGGAGAGGTGGGGGGCCCACATAGATGGATGGATTTTAACAAGTCAAGTGATAGTGATCCCCAACGGCTGTCTAGGCTGATCTCTGAGGGCTCTGTATCAATTTCCTGTGACTGCCGTAACAAAGTACCACATTGGGTAGCTTTAAACAGCAGAAATTTATTGTCTCATAGTTAAGCTAAAAGTCCAAATTCAGGGTGTCCACAGGGTCATGCTCTCTTCAAAGGCTCTAGGGGAAGATCTTCCTTGTCTTTCCCAGCTTCTGGTAGCCCCAGGCATTCCTTGGCTTGTACCTGCAGCTTAACTCCTTCGTCACATGGCAATCTTCCCTCTGTCTGTCTCTCTGTGTCTCTTCTCTTTTATAAAACATCACTCAGATTGGATTAGGACCAACCCTGCTCTGTTATGACCTCATATTAACCTAACTGATAACATCTTCAAAGATCCTATTTCCAAACAAGATCACATTAACAGCCACCAGGGCTTAGGACTTAAACATATCCTTTGGGGGTGAGTGGACACAATTCAACACAGCTCTGAAGACAAAGCCCCAGAATTGCTTTTCCCATGGTCTGCAAACCCTCGGTGCTTCAGCCTTGTTCACTGAGGTACCATGGGTCCCCTGCCCTCTGGGCCCTCCCGCCTCTGAGGGACCCTAAATCAGCTCCAAAGCTGGGCCTCTTCCCAGAACCCCCAGGTGACTTGCTCTTTGAGACCTATGATTGCAAAGAAAACTCATAACGATGTCACAGTCCTTTGCACCTGATCTTCTAGAACAGGGGTTGTTAAACTGTAGCCTGCAGACCGAATCTGCCTCGACTCCTGTTTTCGTATGGCCCCTGAGCTAAGAATAGATTTTGCATTTTTAAATGGTTGAAAAAAATCAAAAGAAGAAGATTTTGTGACACGTGAATATTATATGAAATTCGCATTTCATCGTCTAAAAATAAAATTTTATTGGAATACTCCCATTTCTTTCCCATATTGTCTGCAGCTGCTTTCACACTGCAACAGCACAGTTGAGTAGTTTCGACAAAGGCTGTAGGGTCCACAAAGCCTAAAAAGTTTACTATCTATCTGGCCGTTTACAGAGAAAGTTTGTCATTCCTGTCCTAGAAGATCAGGATGGGACATTTTGCCTCATGAAAACCATTCTCTCCTCACCCCTTTCTCTCCCTCCTCCTCCCTTCTCCCCTCCCTTCCTCTTCCTCTTCCTCTCTCCTTTCATTTCCCTCTTTCTCTCTCTCCTTCCCTCTTTCCTTCTCTCTCCCTTCATATCTCTCCCTCTTCCTCTCCCTCTCTCCTCCCGCCTGTCTCTCTCCCTTCGTGTGTGTGTGTGTGTGTGTGTGTGTGTGTGTGTGTGTGTAGAAGAAGGATAAAGCAGATAAAGACACAGTCTCTGAATTCAGACATACCTGGGTTGGCTGGAATCCTGCCTCCATCACCTCCCAGCTGTGTGACTTTAAGCAAGGAACTTTCCTTCCCTGAGCCTCAGTTTCCTCTTCCTCTGTGACACAGGGCAAGTGATCCTCTCTGGCAGGGTTATTGTGAGGATGTGTAGAAGTGATGTGTGGCCAGTGCTGGCACAGCCTGGCACACGAGGGATGTTCTGCTCTGCCCTGGGCGTGGCTGCTCCGGACTTCTTGCTCCGGGTCTTTGTCTCGAACTCCACTCTTTGAGCCTGACCTGAGAAGGCCTGTCAGTCCTTCTGTGCCCCCCCGCCCCCCGCCCCCGCTTTCATGTTCGCATGCCCTCGGGTTAGTTCCATGTGATAATATACACACCATGGGGTTGATGTGAGTACATTTTCCGCATAAGGAGACTCAGTCTCAAGACGGCACGCTAAAATCTCTTCCTGGATTCCGAAAGCAGACATTGCTCTGTGGGCCAAGACAGTACTGTCCTACTCACCTGGGAGGATTCCAGAGCCCACTGCTCCTCTCAAAGTCACAAAGTCAGCCCTTGGGCTCCTGATTGAAATCTCAGCCTCAAGTCATCCTGCATCCCTGAAACATTCCTTACCACTCGCAGGTGCAGTGCTTCCCCTGTTCAGTCAGGACATTTCTTTATGATGGTGGAGTCTTTTAAACTTCCTTGATGGATTCTGGGAGGAATTCTGGGAAGACAGCAGTGTAAACAAACCATCGTTCTGACCCTCCCCCACAAATACAGCAAGAAATACAACAAGGAAACCGTGCTCAGCTTTGAGGGACTCTGAATCTAGGAGCAGAGGAAAGCAGTGGGAAACTGCAGACAGGCAAGAATCAACAAATCAACAACAAGTCACATACAGTAGGAAAATTGCTTCTCCCACCATCCCTGCCCCTCCTCCAGCCACTCGGGCTGCTGGCTGCTGTGAACTGGGGTAGTGACCCAGAAAAAGAGCCTGCTTCCCTAACCACCACAGCCCCTGCCTGTACAAAGAGACAGGACCCAAGCTTCTGCCCTAAAATCAACAAGGCAGACCTCCCCAGGGGTCCGTTTGGAGAGTGCCAGCACCTCCCCCACCCAGACACTGTCAGTTGCAAGCCTACTGAAAATTGCTATAGAAGGCCTGTGCAGTGGAGTCTGCTACCATAGTAAACACTACTGGCCTCCCTGTGCACCCCATAGCGCAGGCCTCTGAAACCAGCAAGACAGACTTCTCAGGGAGTCAGTTCAGGTCTGTCTGCTCCCCCTTTCAGTCAGTGCTGAGGACTGCTGACTGAGGCTGCTGTGTGTGAAAAAGCAGGAATTTTTAGTGGAGGCTACACCCACAGCTCACATACTACAGGTAGGGCTCTGACAGCAACAAGGCAGACCTCCCTGGAAGTCCATTTGGAGCATGACAGCCCCTCCCTATCCAGACACTGTCACCTTCAAGCCCACTGTGAATTACTACAGAAGGGCTCTGCAGTGGGGACTATTCCTATAGTCAGCACTCTGCCTGCCTCCCTGAGTATCCCATAGCTATGGCTCTGAAACCCACAGGACAAACCTCCCTGGGGGTCAGTTAGGGTTAGTCTGCTCCCACCTCCAGTTGGTGCTGAGGCTACTGTGTGATAGAAAGCAGGAGTCTTGAGTGGAGGCTGCAGTCACAGCTAACAGTCTATCAGAGAGACTCTGATTGCAACAAGGAAGACCTCCATGGGGATCAGACCAGAGTGTGACACCTCCTGTTGGTTGCCAGGCTGTTGCAAACTGCTACAGAAGTCCCCTGCAGTGGAGTCTACTCCCAGAATCAGCACTCTACCTGCCTCCCTGTGCAACCCATAGCTCAGGTCTCTGAAACCAACAGGACAGACCTCCCTAGAGATCAGTTTGGGTCTGTCTCCTCCCCCTTACAGTAGCTGCTGAGGACTGCTGACTGAGGCCGCTGTGTGCTAGGAATCAGGCATCTTGAATGGAGGGTACATCCACAGCCAGTGTACTATGGGGCGGGCTCTGATAGCAACAAGGCTGACCTCCCTGGGAGTACAGTTGGAGTGTGACTAACCCTCCCCCAACCAGTAACTGTTGGCTGCTAGACTGATATGAACTCCTACTAAAGGTTCCCTACGGTGGAGTCAGGTTCCCAACCACCATAAGGGGCTCTGCACCAACAAGACAATTCTCTCAGAGGTCCCTGGGGAGTGCCAGCCCCTCCTCCTCCTGAACGGGGAAAGTCTACCTGTGCTTCCCCTGAATGCCAGCTCAGAGATAAGCAGCTCCCACAGATCAGGGAAGGAAAACTTGGACAAAATCGGAGGGTAACACCCAGCCCCAAAGTGGGCTTGCTAGGTGTGGGTTTTCCAGTTAAAAATGTGATTGCAGAAACAGAGAAGGGACGGGAGTAATAACCAGAGAGAGGGGACTGCGCCCCCTGGTGGACACATTAATAGTACACAATATCTCACCTGAATTGTGGTGTCCACTGGTGGACAGACTGAGCACACAGTGTTCTCTTATGTGTTTGGGAGAGATTGAAAATTGAAAAATAAGATCTGGAACTTTCAAATCTCAAACCAGAGAGGGAGAAGGAGCTATCACAGAGAGAGAGAAAACAGTACGCAAAAGCCAAAGGCTATGACCACCAAAGAGTTTCTTGCAGAAAGTAGTGTGGGCAAAAACACCAAATACTGGGGAAAACTGAGAAGGTTAACACCCTTGAAAATTCAAATGCCCCAAAAAAAATCACAAGACACACAAAGAACAGAGAAACAGTGGCCCATCCAAATGAATATGACAAGGGAGGGAAAGTACATCTGGGGATGACCAAATAATTTTTAAAAATGGAAGAATATAATACAACAACATTAAACATAATTAAAGAACTAAAGCAAAACATAGACAAAGAGCTAAAGGAAATAAGGAAAACAATGAAAAAACAAAATAAGGATCTAAAAGAAGTGATATTGCAGCTGAAAGGCACAATAACTAAAATGAGATACACAATAGAAGGACTTACCAACAGATTTAATCAGGTAGAAGAAAGAGTCAGCAAATTAGAGGATAAGATAGTTAAAATTACAGATGCTGGAGAGCAACAAGAATGTCGGCTCAAGAAGGCTAAACACAGGTCAATGAAATTAT